TCCATCTGTAAATATCGCGTTTTCCACATTTTCCACATCCTGTGCTGACTTGCACGCTTACCCATCTATTATCCATTTTACCCATTTTTCTTTTTTCGTCCCTTGGTTGATGAGAGGGCATAACCCTCTACCGGCCCGCAAGTCCTCCTGGGATCGGAATGAAATAACGCTTTATGTTGTTTGTGAGGTAAAACTTAGAGTCATTTTATGAGCCGTTATGCCGCGGCTGAACATATACATATATAAAGTGATCCATTTGTCGTTAGAGTTGTATGTGGAGCTCAGCTCTTCTTTTGTTTATTATTTTATTTTTATAAGCGTTTCTCAATCCCATCACAAGTATATACCACAAATAAACCGCTGAAATATCAATTTATTTACAGACAATGTAGGAAACTAAAAAAAACAACCCAATTTTTAAATAAAACATCCCTATGATTACGATAATGCGTCTCTCCCTTTTATCGAATTTCATTATTTTGATAAAATTCCGCAATGGGAAAGAATCGCTTAGGTAGCATGAACACTTTTACAACGGCCCCTAAGATATCTCGGGCATTTCTGGAAGTTCAAATGTAACAATATGGTGAAATGTACTCAAAAACCACGGTCGAGCAGAAGAAATCCCGTTTTACTGACTGTACAGCGATTATCGTAATTATGAAATCCTATTGCTACAAACCATTCGCACTCTTGTGGCGTTAAGTTCGCGAGACAGTGCGTGAAGCCAAACAGCTCTTCCTATAACCACTAAACTCTGCCAATATTTACTTGAAAGAGACAAGTGAAGCAAACCAGTCTGTGACCGACAAAAGAAGTTTGACAAAAAACATTCTGTGAATGAAAAATAAAAAGAGTATTTACGAAAAGTAAACAACTAATTATTTTGTAAGATAACTCTCAAGTGATGTATTTGTTTATCTTACAAAAACAAGTAGAAGATACATCTTTCTCTCCCCCCCCCCGCCTCCCCATAAATAAGTAAAGGCCCGGCATGGCCCAGTGGTTAGGGCGCTTGACTCGTAATATGAGGGTCGCGGGTTCGAATCCTCGTCTCACCAAATATGCTCGCCCTTTCAGCCGTGGGGTCGTTATAATACGACGGACAATCCCACTATTCGTTGGTAAAAGAGTAGCCCAAGAGTTGGCCTCTAGTCTTCCACTGATAAATTTGAGATGGCTAACGCAGATAGCCCTCGTGTAGCTTCGCGCGAAATTCAAACCAAATCAATCTAAATAAGTAAATTTGAAAACTAAAACAGTCAAGGTTGTCCAAGGTTAAACTTTATTGATATGACTGCTGGGATCACGATATTTGAGTCTGTTTACAGGTCATTTAAAACTTAATCTTACACAACAATAACACAGACCTGCGATTGTTTTATTGTCTTGAAATATTTACATGTTCTGCAGTAATTCCTGTACGCTGAATCCGAAATTGATATCCATTTTTCTCCATCACGTACAAATTTTTCACAAAACGTCATAACGCAATACATAAAAGAAAGACCACAACACGTAGTTTTGAGACTAAAAGACGTAGATTTCACACACACACAAATCAGGATGAAAGAGGATGCATATTCGTTTGACATCAATGTTCTTCCCTTTTCTGTTTGTCTTTATTTTTTGTTAACAAACACGATAATCAAAAATGTTCATTGTGGTAAACGAAATAATAATTTGATCTAAGTAAGAGTTTTTCATCTTCTTCCCGATTTGTAAAAAAAAAAAATCCTTACGTGATAGAAAAAAAAAGAATAATATTTTCGAAATCTGCGTAGCGAAATTATGGAAAATCTGTTATTAAAACCAAAACAACTTTTATGAAGTTTAAATTCGCAGGCCTGTGTTACCAAAGAAGATTGAGTATGAAAAGAAATATATCCATCGTTGTACTGTTTTCCCGCTAGGAGTGTTATGAGTCCGAAATAACTAGGACAAAGTTGGCCTATTGAAGTTTTACGGCTGTGCATATGGTTCATCTGCCCCACAACACTGCTTCTCAACTCCACAGTACGGCGGGTCTCTATAAAACGTACTTTAATAATAAACAAGATGATATTTAGACAAACAAGCAATTAGTTGACGTTTTTACCATAAATCAATTGATAACAAAACTGGACAAATCGCCTCCAGTCTGTAGTTTGTTTTCCTGTTTTTTTTCTGCCCCCAACTCTCCCTTTCCGTCCATCTTCTTCTTAGCCCCGCTTTGCTGAGGAATTTACCCCCAACATTCAGTTAAAAACGTGTGTTCTATCTCTCCATGGCCGTAATTTATAACCTCCGCCACCGAAGGTGGGAAGAGGTTCTGTTTTCACCCCTGCGTGTGTTTGTCAGTAAGATTTCTCGAAAACGGGTAAATGGATTTGGACGAAAGTTGATAACATTTGGACTACGATCCAACTTAGAAGTGACAGTTTTTTGAAGGGTCAAGGTCACAGCAAAGCCAATAAAAATTTTAAAAATCTCCATCTGTTAACACGAGGACCGATTTTTTTACACTATTTTTACTCTATAACTCAATCAAAAATGATCGAATTTGATTTTGATGAAACTTGGTGGACATACGTAGAATATTATTCCTCACTGTCCTGCCAAAAATGGTCCGTGTCCGTTGATAACGACGGACATACGGTCAAATTTTCGTATATTTTGGAGGGCCGAATATGATCAACGCTGCGTGGCTGAGAGTTTAGTAGTTAATGCCTCTGTAAATAAAGGGGAATTGGTTCGCTAAAATACTAGTTCTTGGGATTTGTGGAAACCGCTAATAATTAAAACGTTCCTCATAGATCAGAAATTATCCCTTTAAGAAAAATGTTAAGCAACTCATCTCAGTTCATACCTACCATACCTTGTCCGAAAAATGCAAACAGTTTTCAATTAAACTGAAATATACACGAATTTAGTGCAGCAATCCCTATTGGTGAAACTTGGAAATTTTATTATTTAATTCTTTGCACGGAAATAAAAAGGAGATTTGTGTTCTAAAGAGAACAGACATTGAGTTTAAAGTGTTTATTTGTTTGTTTATGGCAAACTCACTAAGGCTATTTACCACCGTTCCTAATTTTGAATTAATGACCAGAAGGAAAGCAATCAGTACCCACCGCCAATTCTTTCATCAACAAATAGAAAAGAGCTGAAAGATCGAGCATGTTCAGTGCTGGGTTTCGATCCCGCGACCCGCAGCTTGCGAGTTGAGCTTCCTAACCACCAGGCCATAGCATTTAAGTTTAAAAGGAAGTTATCAAGTAAAAATGAATATAACCAGCTTTCTCAGCTAAGAGAACGCTGCTTGTTATTACATGAAATTTGTAATTAATAACAAGTGTTTATTTGTTAATGTTTTATTAATTTTGCTCAAAGCTACAACAGACCATCTGCGGATAGTCGTTCCTAATTTTGAAGAGATAAATTATAAGGAAAACAGACAGCCAACAGCCCCCCACCCCCACCGCTATCTCTTAGACTAATCTTGTCTGACCGAATAGTAGAATTTTACCACCACAATGAAAGCGCATCCACATCTCCAGACTTGCCAACAAGACTCAAACCATTAATCCTCAGATTCAGAGTCCGGACGCGCTAACCACAACGTTTTCCCCCGGACCGAGAAGAAATGTAATACCAACAGTTGTTTAACAACGGTATAGTTAGGATCTTTACTAGAAACTCGGTATGAGGCGCTGAGCTCTGTGATTGGCTAATCACCGTTTAGGGCAAAACATCACCAGAAAAGTACAGTGCTCATCTGTTCGATTAGCTGGAATTCGCATTCACTGTTTGTCTGACAACACGTGATGGGCTGTAAGTAGGCTTTGTTTGTTTGTTTTTGAATTTCGCGCAGTGTAGCTACACGAGGGCTATCTGCGCTAGCCGTCCTTAATTTAGCAGTGAAAGACTAGAGGGAAGGCAGCTAGTCATCACCACCCACCGCCAACTCTAGGGCTACTCTTTTACCAACGAATAGTGGGATTGACCGTTACGTTATAACGCCCCCACGGCTGAAAGGAGGGGCGAGCATGTTTGGTGGGACGGGAATTCGAACCCGCGACCCTCAAATTGCGAGTCGAGCGCCCCCTAACAACCTGGCCATGCCGGGCCATAAGTAGGCTTAATGAATACGATCTCGTATCCAATCTGGCCAAACGTTTCCGTTGTGTCCGCTACTTTTTTTTTTACTTCGTGATTATTTCTGTGTTGTAAGCCCACACGATCCATACTCCGATGACTTCCGTGGTTATTATGCAAGAATTTAAGTGTTCAAGCCAAGGTTTTTTTTTCACCAAGCTTTTTTTAACGGCTAGGTTTACCGTGATAATGCTGCACGTTTTACGGGCATGTTTGACTCTAATAGGATCCCTGGCCCGGTTCTCGTGCAGTAGGTCACGCCTGTGTTCATGGTGTCACGACACTAAACTTGCTTCTTGTGCGGAAGTACGTCGTTTTCGTTCCTCAGAGTAGGCTAGTTGTGGCACGAGTTATAAAAAAAAAAAATATTCGTTTCACTTAGAAATTTTTTTCGGTTTTCTGAAAGAACCGGAAAACTACATGACGTAAACAAAACTGACAAATATCTAATAAAGAAGGGAGAATAAATTTGATTATGTGTCTAATGATGGTAATAGAAATCGCAATAATAATAGTGGTTTGTTTCGGATATTTGGCCAAAGCTACACAAAGACCATCATTTATTTTGAACCGATAGTTTGTTTGTTTTGGATTTCGCGCAAAGCTACACGAGGGCTATCTGCGCTAGCCGTCCCTAATTTAGCAGTGTAAGACTAGAGGATGGCAAGCTAGTCATCACCGCCCACCACCAACTCTTGGGCTACTCTTTTACCAACGAATAGTGGGATTGACCGTCACATTATAACGCCCCCACGGCTGAAAGGCGAGCACGTTTGGTGGGATTCGAACTCGCGACCCGCAGATTGCGAGACGAGCTCCCTAACCACCTGGCCATGCCAGGCTCCCACCACCAAAGAAATGTTGGACTGAGTGGAAAATAGAAAAAAGAACTTCGATATCTACTAATGTCTGGCTTACATTACCTTGTTGTAGCGACAGTTCAGTATTTTCAGGGCTTACATTATGCCGCCCCCCCCCCCAGTGGCACAGCGGAATGTCTGCGGACTTACAACGCTATAAATCGGGTTTCGATACCCGTGGTGGGAAGAGCACAGCTAGCCCATTGTGTAGCTTCGTGCTTAACTTCAAACCAAACAAACATTATTGCTTGTAATCTTAGTGTCCATAGAAATTATATTACTTTGAAGATTCGATTAAAAATTGAAAGTCTTGGAAAGAAAAATTGACTTCTTATGTATAATACTTATACCACCCTCATAGACTGCAGTGAGTCAAACCTTTTCTCTATAAAACTACCTGTTTGTCATGTAGGTTTTTATTTCTGATGATAGGTGGCGTAAAGCTACCAAAACAAATTTAATGTTGGTCGTTGGCCAAATGAAATTTTATTGTGCATTTTAAACGTTGATCATATTTTTTGTTGTATAATATTTTAGCAGTACCTTTTGTGTTCTCAGGGCTTACATTACATCATTGTATGAACACATTTTTATTCTCAGGTTTACAATACATGTACTTCGTTTCATGACTGCTTTATATAGTTTATTGTCTTTTGGGTTTAATTTACCTCGTTGTATGAATTAGTACTATAGTAGTGCCCTCAGAGCTCACATTATCACGCTGTAGCAATACATTTATAGTGTCCTCAGGACTTTACTTCGTTATATAATAACCTCAGAGAGATATAAACTTTATAGAAGTGATAATTACCTGGAGTGAACGCTGATGGAAAACCAGAATTTTCGTACCAATATCGATCACCTCGTCTTACATTGTCAAATTGGCGGGCTATGATACAAGCAAAAGTAGGGCCAATCATAGCTCCCGGTAGACGGCGCTCCGAAACTCCTCCACTCCACAAATCAATATCATCCGGATGTCTGGATATAGTGACAAATTATAAATCAACTTCTTTTAAAAATGTTATAATACAAAAATATAAATTATAATTAGCTTGATAAAATAACAGTTGGATATAACGGGATCTTGCTAGTGCTGCCATCTGCCAAATTGAAAGTGCAACACAGAATGATAATTTTCAGTATGCCAGTAAAGGCATGTTATATACAATACTTATCTGACAATTTATGAACGATGCTTTAATGATTAAATCAGCTCAAAATAGCTCCTAAAGCTAGGGTTATTTATGGCTCTAAGTTTACTTCTAAGTCAGATGGACTAAATATTAAAAGAAAGATAGAATACATTTGTGGATATTGGAACTCTGAAAACTGATGTTTGTTTTGACTTTCGTGGAAAGCAACTCGAAGGATATCTGCGATAACCGTCCCTAATTTAGTACTGAAAAAATAGAGCGAAGGCAGCTAATCAACACCACCCACCGCCAACTCTTTTACTAACGAAGAGTGGGATTAACCATACCATAATAACGCCTCCACCGCTAAAAGGGCAAGCAAGATTCGAACCCACGACCCGCATCTTGCGAGTCGAGCGCCCCTAACTATTAGGCTATGCCATATAAACTAGCATTTACGTTGTACTTGGTGCGTTCGTTGTAATCGAGTTTTAAGATATCTTGGGGAGTATATTTTAGATTATTTCAGCTATAAGAAAGTATTTAAATTAATATTAGATCTTAAAGCTGGTGTATTATTTAGTTTAAATTACTATTTATGTTATGAGAGAATACATACGTATGCTAGTTGTTCAGGATATATACAGATTTTGTGATTTTTGTTTTTAAATTCTCTTCAAAACCGAACAAAACCTTAAGACCGTGTCAAAGTTCTAGCTTTACCTTACCAAAAAGAAAAAAGCTAAATGCTAAAAATATGAGTTGCTATTTAATATTATCGTATCAAGGGCCAAAACTGTAGAGCTAGTCAAATTAAAAAATTGCAAGTTCTAACAAAATTAATTTTGTCGAAGACACTTAGAGAAACATATGATTTTAATTGTATAGGATCTGTGTACTATTCTGATGCAATTTGAGAAAATTTTAACCTGCTGCCTTCTGACAGGCCTGGGGCTGGGCATTGCCAAGTGGTTAGCATGTCGAACTGTGGACACGAGGGACCATAGCGCATGTCCCTTTGACCCCTTCAAAAGAACAAAAAAGAAACGCTTCGCACTTTATGGCTGTGGAAGGGCTAAAAGAGTGTCGGTCAATTCCTACTTATTCAATTAAAATAGCCCATGAATTGGTGGTGGATGTTATTGACAAACTGCCTTCATTCTAGTCTATCAGTTCAAAAGTAGATGTGGCTAGTACAGATAGCCCTTGTGTAGCTTTGCGCGAATATCCAAAACAAACAAACACACCTAGTGACAGGCGTGGATTCTATTAAACACTATCAATATTGGAAATTGGCTAGCCAGTTGTTAATTAGAGTACTCTATCAGAAAGTGTGGAACCTGGAAATATCCAGGCATACATACAATCATTGGTTGTGTAAAAAAGTTAAACAATTAAAATAAACAATCCGCTCAAAAACTGTATCTCTGGGCTTCTGTATCTGCGCTTCTTTTGTACATTACTTTTCATGGTTTGTGGTTATCTAATTCTACAAAACAACCACCCCACAAGGTAACAGAAAGCCCCACCTACTTGTAAATCTGGGCGTATTTAAAGGCAGTCCTGTTGTTAAGATAAGGTTCAAGTTCTTCAAAGGTTTTGGCCCTTCCCAGCCCACACCAATGTCTGAAGTCATTGTAGCCTGGAACTCCCGTTTCTCGGCCACGCATGATATTGAAAGCTATTAAGTCCATTCCAAACTGGTGGGGAGGTTCTTCAAAAAGATGGTTGGTGACCTGTAACCGAAATTAAAGCCACAGAATATAAAATGTAAATGTCAACAAGAAAAGTGTTTCTGTACTTACTCTGTCTATCTCATAAGAGCAAACCGGAGTATGGATTCTGTTATATTTTTGTCTGTCTGTATCAATTGGTCCCTCAAGTATGAAAAATATGATAAGCCTATCAAATCAAAGTATTTTAAGTTAAATTACACTTGTTTTAAGACCATGGTATTCAGTAGTATGAGTTTCCTACACAGAGATTTTCTGCTTTTTCTTACATTATAAGACTGCAAATTAAATTTGAATCCTTTCTTCCAAAATCATTAATCTGTCCAGATACTTTTAAAACAACATTTTAAAGCTAAATTAACATTATATTTTTGTAAGAATTAAAGTAATAACCAGTTATCACTTGGATAGTTTGTTAGGACCTGTAAGAAAGATCCCACAGATTCCATATTGAAAGTTCTAGTATCAAAACACCAAGCACTCAGTGATATTGAGAAACGAACTCTACAGCTTCATATTTTAATCTGTAAACGAAATACAAAATAGGACATCCTACATCAAAACACCAGTGTAACAGCCATATAAACATATCGACTCTTCGCCTGCAACTTATGACTTTTTTTAATATTAAAAACACCAGCTTACCAGCCATATTATAATTTGTAAAATTGATCGTGAATTCGCCATATAAAAACATTAGTTTATAGCATGCTTTAACAAATGAATCTTTTCACTGCTCCTTTAGTTTGAACCTATAAAGAAGGTCCTTTGGATAATAAATCGAATTAGCACTGATTTACTGGCTGCTTTAAAACATTGTTTCCTCGACTCACTGCAGTTTGTAACCAGTAAAACGGATTACATGTTCTGAACCACGTGTATTTAGACCCTTCAACGTTATCATCTGGCCTGCAAGGAAGATCCTCACGGATTACATGTTCTAAAACACGTGTATTTAGACCCTTCAACGTTATCATCTGGCCTGCAAGGAAGATCCTCACGGATTACATGTTCTAAAACACGTGTATTTAGACCCTTCAACGTTATCATCTGGCCTGCAAGGAAGATCCTCAC